GTGACTCGGGCGACTGGCTGGCAGCTCCCCAGACACACTGGCTTGCTAGCTCTTGTTCCCAGTCTCCTCGCAAGGTCCTGGCTACCTCACGCTCATTCAGGCAGCCTCCCGTGCTGCATTGCCTTCCAGACTCTCATGGCAACCGCTAACCCAAAGATTCCCGCACAACACAGGGAACACAGCATTTTTAAGAGAAATGCAAAAGCCACACCAGTATACTCACTTTGTTTTGTTTGCCCTGATGGGGCATCCATAGCTCTGCCTGCTTAAAGAGCATGAGCCGGAGCCTGGGCCAACGGAGTCAGCTACAGTAAGTTCCAACACCACCCTCAAAGGGGGGTGGGGCAGAGAGGGAGAGAAAAGAGAGAGAATCAGAGGAGAGGAAAAAGGAGGGCAGAGAGCTGGAGAGCGTGCGAGCAAGGAGCCGGGTGCTGCGGAGACTCAGGCGCAGCAGAGCGGAGCTTCAATCTGCTGATTAATTCAGCCTATTTCCAGTCACGCTGCAGACCCAGGGAGGGAAGAGGAGGAGGCAGCAGAGCTGGAAGGGCGGGAGGGAGAGAAGGAGGGAGGGAGAGGAGGGTTGAGAGGAGAAAGTTTGTCTGATGCTCTGCCAGATGTCCAGGAGCTTGGCCTGCTCCTCAGAGGAAGATACTGCAGGGCGGGCTGAGGGGGCGGTGTGCAGCCAGGTTATGGACGGCTGCACAGAGGGATGGATGGACAGACGGAGGAGAAACTGCCCTCAGCCCAGAGCTCTGAGGGCAACTGCCCATATCAAGGAGCACCCTGGGATACTTTCCAGGCTGCCTGTCCTTTGTCCCCAATCACTAGGCCGGGTTAGGAGCCCCAGTGTAAGTGAGCTCATCATCCATGGGAGCTCCCCAAATCACCCAGAGACTCACCAGCATGGAGCCTGGCCAACAATAGCTCTTTCCAAAGTTAGAGTGCAGGAAGGAGGGGAGAGGGGACTTGCGGGTTATTAATAGCAGCACATCCTGTGTAGAGGGGGAAGGACCGGCCACTGAGAAAACTTGAGGAAGACTTCTAGGAGGGCAGACCAGAGGCCAGGAAGCTGGTGGAAGGAAGAATCCAGTGGGAAAGGAAAAAGCCAACTGCTGACACCTTCCTGCCAGGTGGTGTGGGGACCCCAGGAGCTACTAATCTATGTGCATGAAGAGCTCGGCCAGCAACTGGTGAACTCCCGCCATGGTTAGACACACCAGCCCAAGCACTGTGGGGACCTCAAGGCTGTCTGGGGACATCCAGGCCCCTCATCTCCCAGTCAAAGAGGAGGCTAGTGACCTGGGACTCCTGCCTCAGCACTCCCTGCAGCTTCAAACAGAGCTGGAGCATGTAGTGGCTCCGGAAGCACTGCTCTGGGACCCCAAGTTTGACATACGGGAAGCTCTCAGCACAGGCACCCTGGGTGAAGGAAGGGCTCAGTCACTGGTAGTGAACAGGACACTTCTCTGCCTGTGGTCATCCTCAGGATGGCGCTACAAACCCCGAGGGAGATGAAACAGCCTAACAGGTCCCCTAGCTGGAGAGCACAAGCTGAAGCCTGAGCGTGTTTCTCTAGGGCCATCCGTTTCCTAGACGACACCATCTAGAGCTGTAGGGAAGGGAAGAAAGAGCCTCAGCAGCCCAAGCCGGCTTCTCCCCTCCCCCTTTACTAGCGCAGCTCCCTGTGGGGCCCCCAAACAGAGGAGCCAGAGTGAGAACAGAAAGGAGGGGCCGGGCAGTCCAGAGGTTAAGGGCAGGAAGTCTCCATGGGGAACAGGAAAGGGGGGGGGGGCAAGGTCAGCTTCCCTGCCAGCCACTGTGAGGATGTTCAAAGGAAAAAGACTCCTTTCTGTCCCTGTCTCGGGCTCCTAGAGGCACTGCTCCAGTGGGAACCACAAGCCAGCAAACACTGTCCCTTCTGTATGACAGGCCCTAGCAAGGACAGTAGGTAGGGGCTAACCCAGCTGTTGTGCAGGGACCCCAGCGCAGCCCCCTCTGTGTCCCACCTGCTTCCTACACTGCCCACATCAGCGACTGGAGAGGGGAGCCCTGAATCTGTGCAGCGCGAACCCGGGCCAGCACTGCCCCAGCACGTCCCCATCAGTCCCCACCATGGGCTGAAGACAGGGAAAGGCTCTGAAGGAGAGACTGAGAACTGGTAGAGAAGGAAGAGGGGAGCACAGACTCATCCAGCAAGAACCAATCCGCTCCTGGGCTAAGTCAGGGGACAACAGACCATCTTGCCATCAATTACCACCATGCTCACTCCTCTTGGAGTGGGCTCAATCCCACTCTTCCGCGACACCTTCTGGCTGCCCTGGGCCACAGGGATCATCTTTAGAAGCCTATTTACACAACTCGCAAGTTACCTCAGGTACAAACCCCATTAGGTCCTTCTACTCAACAGCTTGTGCTATCCATTCCTCTGCTACACCATAAGCCTCTCCAAGCCAGGGGCTGCCTCCCCAGTGCCTAGGTTCTACCAGCCCAAAGTCAGCGTTCCACAATGTGGCTGATGATGATGGTGATGATGCTTTCTAGTCCAGGACTCATCTATTCAGACAGAGGAGGAGGACAAAGAGAAATCCTCCAGGAAAAATGGTCCAAGAGTTCTCAAGTTTTCTCCCTCAGGCTCAAGAGCGAAGTCAGTGCCCTCGATCACAGAACTTTGTTTCCCTAACACACTAGGCACTAGTGTTCAGTGGTTCTGGATGGAACCAGAGGACAATACTGTCCTCTGTTTAGGGAGCATTCAGCCTCACCCAGGCAGGCCACCACATTGCACAACATCAGAGCCTCGGGAAGCATGCTCCCCAAAATTGAGCAGCACATGGCACTCGTGGCTATACACAGCAGCCTCCCACCCAGGCTGGGAGAGAGGCAGATGTAGCTTTCCCTCTGTGCCAATCACTGCTAGGGTGGATGCCTGCAGAGCAGCAAAATGTGGCTGTGAACAGGAGGCTGAATGCACCTGCTTCAAGTTCAAGTCCAGAAACCTGTTGCACAGCTGGTCCAGAGGCACAGGAAGCCTGGAGCTGAACAGGCAGCAGTCAGCCAGGCGCCACCAGAGGTCCAGGGAGTGTGGACCCACAGCTCTCTCTCCAGAACTCCCCAAGATCTCTTTGGCAGGAAGATCACTGTCCAGAAGTTCAAGTCAGTAAATATTTACTAAGCCCTTGCTACATGCTAGGCTCTGTGCTGGCAGCTAGGGATATTGAGAAAAAGTAGAAGAGATGAATTATTTAAACAGAGTAGAGAGTACAATGGTGGAAGTACTATGAATGCTAAAAGGAAGGACCTCTGGAGGGGGAGGACTTATCTGGAGAAGATGATGCCTAAAGTGAGTCTTGAAGAAAGAGCAGAAGTAGTTTGCCAGGGAAAAGGGTGGGGAGCATTCTAGAGGTAACAGCCTTAACACAGTGTGTGCCCCCAAACTCTGAAGCATTCAAATTTACTAGTGTTGGAGTCAAGGCAGGAGGCTTGGGATGCTGGATCCACGGGCAGGAGCAGGATTCTGGAGGGCTTCATACACATTAAAAGTTTAGTAGGTGGCATGGAGCCACTGACCAGTTTTGTGGCAGCCATACAGAGGCTGGTGAGCACAGACAGAGAGATCTATTAGGAGGGTGTGGCAGAAGACACAAGAGACACAAGAACTTCCTTTAGGGCAGCCTTTTGTCATAGTAGAGGAGTATTGTGATTGATAAAACTACTTCCATCCAAAGATGGTATACATGGAGGCTGGGCCAGACCAGGCTGAGAGAAGGCTGATCATATGGCTGGCCTGGACTGCCGGGCTGCTCAGCACCAGCTGATCAGGCAACTGTGTCTGGAGTCTCACTGGGAAGCTCTTCCCTAACCACAGAGAGGGTGCCCAAAAGCACTTGACATGACTCAGCAGGCTGGGGCATAGCTCTAGCAAAGAGCAAACAAACTAAATTACACACCCCTGGGCAAGAAGCGGAAGACCAGCTCAGAGCCAACCCAAACCAGAAACCCTGCTCCCATGCAGTTGTGTTAACTGGTCCACCTTCATCATTTATTCAAAGCTTCCTGACTCTGTGCTTTACAGCTGAGCAATATTACCTTCTCAGAGGTCACATTCACATCCCCAAGCCTCTGAGCCACACCTCCTCTCTCACGTTTGGTTTAAAGCCCCCCACTAGAAAAAGGGATTATGGGGAAAAGGCTCCTTCCTTTCCGTTTCGCAGCATCCATCAGGTAAGCCAAGATGGGTGCATACAAGTATATCCAGGAGCTATGGAAGAAGAAGCAGTCTGATGTCATGCGCTTTCTTCTGAGGGTCGCTGCTGGCAATACCGCCAGCTCTCTGCGCTCCACAGGGCTCCCCGCCCCACCCAACCAGATAAAGCGCACAGACTGGGACACAAGGCCAAGCTAGGTTATGTCATATATAGGATTTGTGTGCGCCGTGGTGGTCACAAACACCCAGTTCCTAAGGGTGCAACCTATGGCAAACCTGTCCACCGTGGTGTTAACCAGCTAAAGTTTGCTGGAAGCCCTCATTCAGTCTATTGCCGAGGAGTGAGTTGGACGCCACTGTGGGGCTCTAAGAGTCCTGAATTTTTACTGGGTTGGTGAAGATTCCACGTACAAATTTTTTAAGGTTATCCTCATTGATCCATTCCATAAAGCTATCAGAAGAAATCCTGACACCCAGTGGATCTGTCCACAAGCACAGGGAGATGCGTGGGCTGACATCTGCAGGCCGCAAGAGCCATGGCCTTGGAAAGGGCCATAAGTTCTACCACACTATTGGTGGTTCTCGCCGTGCAGCCTGGTGCAGAAGGCGCAATACTCTCTAGCTCCACCGTTATTGCTAATATAAGTAATATTTGTAAAATTCATACCTAATAAACAATTTAGAATGGTCAAAAAAAAAAAAAGCCCCCAACTAAGAACCTCCCAGGCAATACAAGTAAGGAGGGTCCAACAGAGACACACAGACAATACCCATAAGGTAACAGAATATGGCCTACCAGATGCTTCTCCTTCAGGTCCATGAGCCCAGAGTACTGCAGGCATGCCCAGATGAATGTGGTCACCCCCAAAAGGAAGGCTCCTCCACAACATGTACAATCCCCAGTGAGTCTGTTACAGTCACAGCATCTGGGGAGAAAAGAAGAAAGAAATCATCTAAACCCAGGTTGCTGGGACAGGCGGCTACTGTGAAACACAACAACAGCATCTAAATAACAGGGTGGTACGTGGAAAAGAACTGGGCCCCCTTACCGTCAGTGCCCAGGCCAGTCCTGCCAAGTAGCAGAGCTTCCCCCAAGCAGTCAGCCTGGGATGAATTCCACTCTCTGAGGCCAGGAAGGAGAGGGCCATGGAGGGGATTCTGGAGGTTGCAAACTTTCTTCTCTCTTTTTTTTTTTTGAGACAGAGTCTCACTCTGTTGCTCAGGCTAGAGTGCAGTGACATCATCATAGCTCACTGCAATCTCAAACCCCTGGGCTCAAGCGATCCTCCTGCCTCAGCCTCCCGAGTAGCCGGGACTGCAGGCATGCACCATCGCACCTGGCTAATTTTTCCATTTTTAGTAGAAACGGGGTCTCACTCTTGTTCAGGCTGGTCTCGAAATCCTGAGCTTAAGTGATCCTCCCACCTTGGCCTCCCAGAGTGCTAGAATCACAGGCATGAGCCACTGGGCCAGGCCCAGATTTTCTTCTCTTAACCTTCATTTTCAAAGACACACTGTGTTTTGTTCTACATGTACTCTGTTAATTGCTGACTTCCAACAGACAGGAAAAGCCTTGGTTTATCGGCATTTTTTTAAAGTTAGGGTTAAGGTTTAGCCTTAAGGTCAACTGGAATCTAGATATAACTTGAATTATGAGACAGCAGGAAGAACGGCCACTTTGCCACCAGGGGGAAGAGCCCATCTCTTTCCACGTGCTGGGAAAGGCACGCCACACTTGCCAGCACACACATGCCCACAGACCCCCGAGCCCCTCATGCGGTTGAGGGCAGTGCCCAACAGGCACCTGGGCAGATGTCCACAAGGATGGGCAATCCAACCTGACAATGAGGCTGACAAAAGTAGGCTGGTTATCTGAAAATGAAGATCAGCCCTGCCTCTCCCAACCCCACCTGCCCCACACAAGCCTTGAGCCTCACCCTTCCATCCTGGCAGCCAACACAACTTTAGTGATCTCAGGCCAGGGTGTGTTTGGGTAAAGAGTGACACTGAGTAATCTGGTTTGGTGTCAGGTGACTCCTCTTAGAGAAAGCACTAACATGCTGATTAGGGCAGTTCTTTTGGGGGCCTGCAACAAGCCTCTTCAAGAGGAGTCAGGCAGAAGTCCAGGAAAATTACCCATAGAAGACCTGTCAAGAAACAATAAAAAGGGCATTTATTGAAACCTTAAAATCTATACCCCCATAATATGCCAAAAGAAAGAAAGAAAGAAAGAAAGAAAGAAAGAAAGAAAGAAAGAAAGAAAGAAAGAAAGAAAGAAAGAAAGAAAGAAAGAAAGAAAGAAAGAAAGAAAGAATAAAAGAAGCTGTGTCCAGAGGACCAGCCAGGAGGCCCACGTTCTGCCTCCCTGCTACCAACTCCACTCAGAAACCCCACCCGATTCCTCCCAGGCAGCACCCGCGCAGAAGCCACAGGCTGCGCTGCCAAGTCTCTCCTACCCCTGCCTTTCAAAGCTGAGCCAGCCACAAAGGGTCAGACACAGACAGTGACACTGGAAGTGGCCTTGCAATGCAGTGACATTTGGTCTTTGGCAGCCAACTGAAATGGGATCCTGAGAGGCGAAATTCACTCCTCCCCAAGGCCACTGTCTGATTCAGGCTGCCCAGGCCCTGTTTACGACTATAGCTTGAGGTCCCCATGACACCCCATCCCAGCAGGGGCTGGATGAGGTAGTCACCACACAGGGAAAGGTACCAGGAGCCAGATGGGGATTGTGCCTGCTACCTCCTTCTGCCAACGCTGCAAAAGCAAAATCACTCTGTGGCCAGCTGGAACCACAGCAGTAAAGAGGGCAGCCAGGAACAGGACATTTTTCTAAGAGTCTCTGTTTTCCCATCATTCCATACATGGCATTCTGGAAGAGAGATGGTCTTTTTTTTTTTTTTTTTTTGCAGGGGTGGCGGGTAGGGAGGGGATGAGAGAGCAAAGAGAGCTGTTCTTAACTGTCTGATCTGAATCCAGCAGCAGTATCCTTAAAGGGCCAGTTCTGCTTCTAACCCATTATGAAAAAAAAGCACAGGCTTCACAGCCAAATATCTCTGGGTTCAAATTCTAGCTGCAATATTTATCAAATGCCAATGACCTGGGAAAATTATTTGTCCCTCTGAGCGTCGGTATCCTTGTTTATAGAATGAAAATGATACTTATTTCACAGAGGTGCTATAGAATTATGTAAAATAGTATATGCAGGGGGTCTACTGTAATATTTGACATAGAGTAGGTACTCAATAAATAGCTGCCATTACTATCACCTATAAACAAGAAATATGAACCAAGGGACACCTACATCAAGAATAAGGACTCTAGGCCAGGCGCGGTGGCTCACGCCTGTAATCCTAGCACTCTGGGAGGCCAAGGCAGGTGGATTGCTCGAGGTCAGGAGTTCGAAACCAGCCTGAGCAAGAGTGAGACCCCGTCTCTACTATAAATAGAAAGAAATTAATTGGCCAACTAATATATATAGAAAAAATTAGCTGGACATGGTGGCGCATGCCTGTAGTCCCAGCTACTTGGGAGGCTGAGGCAGCAGGATTGCTTAAGCCCAGGAGTTTGAGGTTGCTGTGAGCTAGGCTGATGCCACGGCACTCACTCTAGCCTGGGCAACAAAGCGAGACTCTGTCTCAAAAAAAAAAAAAGAATAAGGACTTTAAAGTAGAAGAAAAAGAAATGGAAGGCATAATGATTGGCAGGAAATAAATAAAATTGTCTCTATTTGCAAATTAGATGGTGTATGAAGAAAATCCCAAGGAATCTACAAATAAGACACTAGAACACAAAAGGGTACAAGGTTGTGAGATACAAGTCAAAATATAAATTATATCGGCATGCAAAATCCTGTCGAAAAAAAAAAAAAGAAAAAAATATATAAATTATATTTATATATGCCATAATAAAATAGAAAGAAACCAAAAAATTTTAAAACATCATTTGTAATAACAAAAAACAGCATGAAATACTTAAGAATGACTTAATAAAAATATATGTCAGGCTGGGTATAGTGGCTCACGGCTATAATCCTAGCATTTGGGGAGGCCAAGGTGGGAGGATTGCTTGAGCCTAGGAGTTTGAGACCAACTTGGACAACATAGTAAGACCCCATCTCTTATGAAAATAAGACAAACAGGCCAGGCGTGGTAGCTCACACCTATAATCCTAGCACTCTGGTAGTCCAAGGCAGGAGGATCGTTTGAGCTCAGGAGTTGGAGACCAGCCTGAGAAAGAGTGAGACCCCATCTCTACTAAAAAATAGAAAGAAATTAGCTGGACAACTAAAAAATATATATGTAAAAAAAAAAAAAATTAGCCAGCCATGATGGCACATGTCTGTAGTCCCAGCTATTCAGGAGGCTGAGGCAGGAGGATCGCTTGAGCCTAGCAGTTGGAGCTTGCTGTGAGCTAGGCTGATGCCATGGCACTCTAGCCCAGGCAACAGAGTGAGACTCTGTCTCAGAAAAAAAAAAAAAAGAAAAGAAAAGAAGACAAACAACCCAATTTTCAAAATAGGCAAAGATTTGAACAGAGACAAAACAAGATATACAAATAGCCAATATGAACATGAAAAGATGATTGTCATCAGTCATGAGAGAAAAGCAAATTAAAACCACAATGTCAGACCAATACACAACTACTAGAATAACTAAAATGAAAAAGACTGACAATACCTAGTATTGGTGATGATATGAACTCATAAATTGTTGGTGAGAATATAACATGGTACAACCACTTTGGAAAAGTCTGGCAGTTTCTTATAAAGTTAAGTATACATTTACCATGTGACCTAGCAATGAAAACCTATGGCCTCAAATTGCAGTTTTATTCAAAATAGCCAAAACTGGAAACAATCCAAACGTTCACTCACAAGTGAATGGATGAACAAATTATGGAATTCTACCCAGCAATAACACAGAATGAAGTACTACCATACAACAGCATGGCTGAATCTCAAAAACATTTGCTAAGTGAATGAGTCAGACACAAAAGAGTACACAAAATGTACGAGTCCCTGTATATAAGATTTAGAACAGGCAAAACTAATCTATGGTGACAGCCAGCAGTTGCCTGGGGCAAGAGGAAGGAATGACTTCAAAGAGCATGGGGATCTCTGTTCAGTATCCGGATTGTGGGTGCCAGCTACACTGGTGTATGTGCTTGTCAAAATTATCTGAATTACATACCTAAATAGGTGCATTTTACTAGGTGTAAATTTTGCCTCAATAGAGGCAATTAAAGAAAGTAAAGTGGAATCTGAGATCCAATTAAATCACCTCAACCAATGCCTAAATTTCCTAGCACATGCAAGATTTGGGTGACATAAAAGAGAGAAAAAAGACAATGAAGGAAACCAACATTTATCAAGTACCTACTGTGTGTAACACTATGCTAGGCAACTGCATATATATTTCATAAAGAAGTAGAAGAGGCTGGGCGCGGTGGCTCACACCTGTAATCCTAGCACTCTGGGAGGCCAGGGCAGGTGGATTGCTTGAGGTCACGAGTTCGAAACCAGCCTGAGCAAGAGTGAGACCCTGTCTCTACTATAAATAGAAAGAAATTAATTGGCCAACTAATATATATAGAAAAAATTAGCCGGGCATGGTGGTGCATGCCTGTAGTCCCAGCTACTCGGGAGGCTGAGGCAGAAGGATTACTTGAGCCCAGGAGTTTGAGGTTGCTGTGAGCTAGGCTGATGCCACGGCACTCACTAAGCCTGGACAACAAGTGAGACCCTGTCTCCAAAAAAAAAAAAAAAAAAATGTAAGGAATGGTCCTGTTTTCAAGGAAGTATAAGGTAATGGTCTCCTCCCTAAAGGGATGTCTAATATAGCCAGGTTTTCATTATTACGAAAAACAATTACTAAAATTGGAGTTGGCATTGAAATACCAAACAAGAATAACAAACAATAGGCACTGTAGAAAGAACTTATTAGGCTCTGAAGGGCCCAGGGAAGGCTTCCTGGAAGAAGAGAGGCCAGAGCTGTGCACTTAAGAAAGCTAAGGAGTGAAATGAGAACAATCAAAGGGAGAATTAAAAGTACCAAAAAGGAGCCAAGGAAGAAATGCACATGGCCTTTGTGAAAGATGGTGATCAGATTTGTCTGGTTAGAGCAGAAGGCTCGAGCAAGGTGGGAGTGAAGAAATAAAAGACCACACAGGACAGGCTCAGGGGCCAGGATGGAGAGGCCCTGAGGAGTCACTGAAGGTTTCTAAGTAGGCCACAGTATTTTAAGAGGGTAGAGAATAGGCCAGGCATGGGAGCCCACGCCTGTAATCCTAGCACTCTCAGAGGCTGAGGCGGGAGGATCAATCAAGGTCAGGAGTTCGAAACCAGCCTGACAAGAGCGAGATCCCCATCTCTACTAAAAATAGAAAGAAATTAATTGGCCAACTAATAATATATAGAAAAAAATAGCCAGGCACGGTGGCGCATACCTGTAGTCCTAGCTACTTGGGAGGCTGAGGCAGAAGGATCCCTTGAGCCCAGGAGTTGGAGATTGCTATGAGCTAGGCTGACGCCACAGCACTCTCTGTTTCAAAAAAAAAAAAAATCTCCCTCAGCCATACTGATTAAAAAAAAAAAAAAAAAAAAAAAAAAAAAAAAAAAAAAAAAAAAAAGAGGGTAGAGTATGGATCAGAGGGAGAAGGGGAAAAAATTACAGGCAGAAAAGTTAGAAGACAATTACGATAGTCTTGGTTTGCCATGACAAGTATCTAGGCAAAAGCAGCAACAACAGCAAAGGTGAAAACAAAGGGATGGATGCTTCCTGCTGCCAAGCTCAGAACCAAGGTCAAAAAGAGCCCAGTGGGAGCCCAAGGCTAAGGCTGAGGCAAGGTGAGGCCTTAGCTGTCCTTCTAATCCCTCTAACACAATCTTCATCAGCTGTACTTATACTCTAGTCATGCCCAACACACCAAAAACACAATTTGGCGGATATGTACTTAGTTCAATAGTTGTGCCCACAAGGTACTATTTGATAGATTTGTGTTAAGCTGGAGGGAGGTTTTTAATAGCAAGCCACAGGGTTCTATCCTTGGTGGTGTTCTAGTCAATATTTTTATCAAATGACTTGGGTGAGGAAGCAGATGGTATGCTAATCAAGTTCTTGAATAACATAAACCTGGAAAGGAGATC